GGACGTCCGGCATCCTGACACGCTAAATTTAAGAATAAGCGTGCCTCACTGTCAAAACACATACTAACGATCTAGTGCTCATTGCAATAGCGCAAGCCACCTCGTGCCCTCCTCGAATGAACACAGCGTTTTTGTACTTATAATGTCTCGAACAAAATCACGTCCGCGTCTAACCTCAAGCCTATTGCTCCGGCTTCCGATGTTAAACTCCAGCCCCTAGTCCTTCGCCCTCCAGCCGGCATAGTGATCCAACTTTGTAATTCCTCTAACTGTAGTTCTGGATCGCGACTACAAACCGACCCCAACCTATATGATGGGAATCGCCTACTCTAGCTATGGGAACTCGGGGCCGCCTTGGGGTCATGCTGAGTGCTCCTAGTAGGTCCAAACCGTTGCATCTGATGGGGACAGCACAAAAGTCACATCAAAGATGCTAACGCCAATCAAGTATCCCATCAGAGTGATCCACTTGTCCCGCCCGCGGCCATGTTAAGAATCAAGCACCCAGCCAGCTTAGAAAGCTGGTAATCTCGGTAGTCATGGTGACATGAGCCCCCTTGATAGCTCGACCAACATGCCCTCCCGTAGCGTCAGCTGTCACACGGATTAGGTCAAGCAAGGATAGGAAGCCCTTTGTTACACAATAGGATCACGAGAACTATGGGGCGCACTAGGCACGGGCCGTTCCTTTCATGTATAAAAGACGGTCTCCCCTCGCCTCGAGGCTTGAGGAAACCAAGGACCTTTGACATCCTACGAGATTATCATTGGATTGAGCCCTTTTGCTTCAAGCCCTCTATTGAGTCCTTGTCACATCGGCATAGCTCCCGAGCTACACTTCTCAGTAGGCAAATGTATTCTACCACAGAGTGTAACTTGTAGACTTAGGCATGATCCCCATGAGTCCTGGAGTTCCAACCCTACTAAATTCTCAGAAGTAACTCGAGACAACATAGTCGTTGCATTACGAGAATCTCAATAGCTCCGGCGCCAACATAGGCAACAATGCTCCCCGTAAAGTGAATCCGGCCATGAGACAGGCGTATCTGTGGCTAGCCAGTTATATCCCACAGTGTCGACAGCCTCCATATCCGGCACAAATTTGGTAGAGCCGCCTGCACAGACTGGTAGTTGGGATTGCCGATGCGTCGGCACATAACCGCATGCTAAACCTGCAGGTATTTGAGATGCGGTTCTAGGCTCTTTATCGCGAAAAAGAACGCGCTCTGATCGAATAGCAATTATACCCCCTTATATGCCGTTGACACTCTTTGGACTCCACAATATTCACAGCCTTTCATGGCTTAGCAATAGATCAAAACTATGTGTGTGAAGTCTGGGCGATGTGCGTGCAACCAACTCGAGTTGGCGGAGGGATAGTTACGATTTGAAACATCAAGGATGGGGCCGATGCGCGTAATACAAGGCAATAGCAAAACGCCCCAACGCTCAGCGGTAGGGTAGCAAAAGTTACCCTAATCTTACAGCCTACATATAACGGTTTAGTCATATATTCAGGGAAAGCGGTTTTTACCAATAGCTACAGGAATAAGCCGCAAATGTGGTAACACAACCCTAAGACTCACTCTCGTGATGGGAACTACAGTGCACAGCAACGTAAGCATGTGGCACAAAACACGACATGTGCAAATCAGAAGTGCTGCAACTGGGCTCTCGGCATGGCACACTACATTACTCTACAATGAGGCGAGTGTATAAAGCCACGCTACAACATCCCTCGTCAACTGTCAGGCTCACCAGACTGTTTCTAAAAATACAGCTAATCGTGTCCAAACCCAGAGTACTACACGGCTGCCAGCGTGGCGACTAGACCAAAACATAATTGAAGATATCAGGTATATAAGCTATAACGATGCTAGGTAGCGGAGCGTCATACCATGTCCCAATCAACCTCGTTACCACCTATTGCCGCCCTAGACGATGCCTCCGGAGGCAGCGGAACATTTGTCATTATACTAACTACCGGTACTATCACAACTATATCTCTTCGCTTCTAGTCCCGTAGTACTCAGAGGGCCCCAGATGCGCCGGGCAGTTTCCATGTCTCCCGTTTCTGGTGGGATGACTGGGCTGCATTAGCTGCCATGGTACGTGTTCGCAAACAAGAAGCCAGATGCTCTGACAATACACACGTCACTAAGCTTGAACCTGGTCTCCATCCCTTTATTCTCGGCCTATGCGGCAAAATATTTGCCATGCTGCACCACGGGCTCGGCCGCCATACTCAATCTGTGCCGCCAGAGAAGGTTGCCGTTTTCTAGGACTCCTCTATGCTCTGTACTATATGTACAACTTTAATCTGTTCTTGACCAAGTGCTCAGCACTATTCTTTCTCTCGAATCTTTCCCTGGCACGCAAATACAAGGGCCTTTAACTACGCTCTTGCCAACACTCACCTCCTCAACGCCGCCTGGCTATTGGGCGTGACCTTTGGCACTGTCTTCATGTGCAACCCGGTCGAAAAGCGATGGAGTCAGCCGCTGAGCTGCGGCCTAACAAGCGCTCTGAAGGCTGGTACCTCCCTTAATTTAGATATAACATGTACGCTCTACTACTTTGGAAAAGCCTGATCAATATTATTGGCTGTCCTTGTACTTGCAGACTCAGTAGTTCGTCTCGGTTACTGGGTGTCGGTCGAGGCTCCCATCACGTTGTGCATCTGTCTTCCTGCAACTTCAACAACGACTCGGTATCTCAGAAAAAGTCATCCATTGACTATTGCGAGCAAGGCCAGGGCATTTTTCAACTTTGTCAGAAACAGAAATTCCTCCGGAGCGACAAGTCAAAATAAAGACGCCACATCGACACCCGCAGCCGAACCGCGGCAAACTGGGATACAACCGATAACGCCTACCTTGTCTACCCTGACCAGCACAAACATTCATCAGCAAAGTGTTCCATGCTTGGAAAGTGTAGATGAATTATTGCCGCACGAGCATAGAAGCTACTTTACTACCGGGAAGGAAACTACTTCTCGCACGGAAGGAAGTAATGCGATGGTGGTGTTTCCAGGTACCAGAACTTTTTCCATTCGTATCGGCAAGACAGTATCTGTTACGCAAAGCTCCCGAAAGTAGCACTCTTATTAAGGGCGCTTGTATCAAATCATCGGTAGAGCCAAACCATAATTACGACTTGTATATTCTTTGTGAGGGAGAGGTGAAAACAATATACTTTACCTGGAATCACCTACAAGCTAACAACACTAACTAGCAAAGGGGCGTATGACACGAATTGCCACTCACTTGGAGTTCCTGATGTCAAATGGTATCCCACTTTGGGCGGCATTGGTTGAGACGGAGCACGGGTATCGGGTGAGGGACCGCGAAAGAGAGCTACAGCGAGGTCACAAGAGTTCGTGATGCAACTGACAAGTTGTATTGCGAGAGAGCTAAAAGAAGTGAAAAGCTTGATGATGTATGTCAGGAAAAGAGCTAGCTAGAAGGTGCCAGCGCAGCAACAGTGATATGGTGCCTCACACGTGACTGTGTAGGCTCTAACATGTCGCGGCCCCGGCGGCTCCGAGGTTATTGGCGATCTTTGAGCCATTAAAACCTCGCTCTGTTAAAGACCACTCGGCTTTGGAGGATGAACTGCTGTTCTTGGCTTGTTTGCGTCGCACGGGTCTTCTAATGGTAGCTTGTTGTCATTTGAGAGCTATATTCTTTGTTAGTAGATAGACGCCTGCGTTAGATTGTCACGCCACACCGTAAATTTACTCTAGACTTCCACTGGAATTAAAATTCACCACATCCTTCATGCTCCAATTCGCGAACTTTCTTCCAATGACAGGGCCAACTTCCTCCAGTGGCCGGAGGGAGTAAATCAATGGAAGATTTAGTAAACTCCGTTATTATCGAAACATCCAAGGGCTCCATTTGTCCTCTACCAATTAATAACGATACTACTGAGGCGAAAGCGCCTACGCAACGGTTGTTGGAGGACCGCTCAACATGTGTTGGTTCCATATCATCTACTGACAAGATAAGTGTTTGGGAGCGACGAATATTGTCTCGTTCCCCTTCGGTCGTTGGTTTTTTAACAGAATCTAATGCGCACCTTTAAGCCGCAACATCCAGTCGCCTCCCCGGAAAAAAACGGTGTCGATATTACCGCCTATCATGTCCCTAAGGACAGCTACAAAATTATGTAAATTATATAGAGCCTGTCGTTGGCACATAGAGTTTGCAATCATACGAGATAGTCCGTGCGAATAGCAATCTCGAGTAAAAGCTATTCTCTTTCAAGGGTGGCAATGCTTGATTGGTGCTGGTATCTAGTTGATAGCCAACTCCCTTGATCTCGGCCGTTATTGTGCTATGCACACCACGATAGAACCCGATCTTCTCTGTTTTCTCCCACGCAACCACTATAACATTCTGCCGTGCTTTCCGTGCCACACATTCGGAATGCCTCTTTGTATTCACGACTCCAATCCAAAGGATGAAATTTTGCCCTTCACGGCGGGACGCAACGTTGCGAAAAGCTTCCACGGGCTGGGAAATTTGACCCAGCAGAGGGAGCCTACGATCAAACGAGGGTCACATCCGTAGTCGAGTACGCAGGAGTCTGTCCGCTTTTTTGCCCCAGAAGCCCGAATAAACTACTCCTCTGCAGAGACCATTTCCAATTGATCTTGGACACTGAATTGCAAGCCTGCAATGGGGTGTTGCGAGCAGCTGAATTGGGACAAAAAATACGGCAACGTCGACTGAACGCCCGGATGTGCCTTCTTCAAAACTGTCTCGTGTTACTAACAATTCGTGACCCATATGCAAAGTTATGATTCTTGAACGATTTAATGCAGAAGACAGTCTATATATTGCACAGTACATTGGTGACAATTGAAACGGCATTAGCCCTCTGGCACAGGAACTACAGAAGCCACAGAATGCTTTATGAACTATGACTCTATTCCACTTTCAGTTGCACCGTTATCCTTGCATCTACCCAAGTGTAGGAGCAGTTGGTGTCTGAAATTAGGCAGCGACTTTGGTACTAGCAGGTTGCGATTTGGGAGGCCACTTCACGCGCCTTTCCGCGCGAACGTACAAGTTATTCGGTCTGATAAGCTGGAACATGGGGTCGTACTCGACCGTCCCGTCCCCCTCACGTGAGAACTTGTACCGGTAAATCAGCTTTGGCAAGAAGACCTTAACCTCTTGTAGCGCGAAGTTGAATCCAATACACATTCTTTGACCGGTGGCAAACGGCACATACGCCGCCTTGTGCCGATTCTTCACCTTATCCGTATCCCACCTATCAGGGTCAAATTTATATGGGTTGTCCCATAAATCAGGATTATTGTGAATATGGTGTATAGCGGGGATTATGACGGCTTCTTTGGGGAGCTTGTATCCTCCAGGCAAGATAAGGTCGACTTTGGCAGTGCGTCCAGGTTGATATGATGGGTTATGTCGGCGCTGCATCTCCTTTATATACTTGTCCAGGAAGACTAAGCGCTCCGTGTATTCGGCAGTCATAGTGGTATTATCGTCAAATTCGTTATCGACCAGTTCCTGGAGGAGTCTCTCTTGCATATTTGGGTAGGTGACCAAACCATAGATGAGCCATGACAGCAAGGAACTAGTAGTGGTGAATCCAGCGCCAGTAGCCACAACCAATGCCCAAACTAGACTAGTCTTGGGCAACTTTTCACCTTTGTTGTCGATGGCACGGATCGAGTAATCTTGGCGCAATGTCCGCTCAGATACTCAAAGCGGGATTGGACGGCAGGCACGTTGTTACTCACCGACCACGTTCGCCGCCTTCAGTGCAGCATCTTGAAGTGGGAGGTCTTCCACTCCGCCTCTGGCAGCGTTTTGGATAGACTCGTCGACTAGCCGTTCAATGTGGCTCCTAACATACTTCAACCGTTGAGGGTCGCCAAAAGGCAAACTGCTGTACCAATCACCTTTGGAAGTAACCTTCTTGTTGAGTGATAATAACTCGGCAATCAAATGCACCATTCATGCAAAGGCGCATCAGGTGACGAAAAGTGTTGGAAATCCATGCCTAGAGTAAGCTTACCAACAGCCTGTGAGCCAAGCTTTAACATGTATTGGTAGACATTCCACGCTTCTTTCTGTTCATCCAGCGCATCAAACACCTTGAAAGCGTCTTCAACAGTCTTTTGCATCGTTGGTGCGTAGTGTCGGACCGCCTTGGGACCAAGGGCTGGAGGTAGGAACTTGTGAGCCACTCTCCATTCCGGCGTGTCAGTGTCGCCGAGGAATATTCCAGCAGATGGTGCTTTTATTGCGTAAAGTGGGTGGGCTGCATTGATCTTCTTGGTAAAGAAGTCGGACTCGACGAAGGCAATGGCCGCAATCTTGGGGTCGTTTGTGTGGTATGTGACACGTCCCATGTTGTTAGTCTTTATTACTGGGCCGTAATATTCAAAGAGGCGCTGGTGGTTGCCGAGATGATCTGGGTAGACCTCGAAAAAGTTTCCAACGTAGGGCAAGCCTCTTGGCCCTGGAGGATCGCGAACGGCACGTCCGTCAACAGAAATAGCGACTGGTCCGGTCGCAGAAATGACATCTGCGACATCTAGGAGTACGCTGCTCTGCCCCTGGAATCCAATTCCTGCGTACGTTCTTAGTATGTGGCACTGTGATTTAGCGAAAGACTGTTCTAGTGTTGCATACCACTGGGTTCGACAATAGCAAAATAAGAAGCAATAAGATGTTTTAGTCCGTCAGCATCCAGATTCTGGCTAACCGGAATATCAATGGCTGTTGATGGTGACTCTCCAAGCAAGTGAAACTGTTGTGTGGCCATGATGTTGGGTGTTGTACGGAAAAGCCGCTGGTGTTTGTCTTGTCAAAAGTCTCAACTTGTGCGATGAATCAGACTTATATGCAAAGATTTTAAATGATTTCGGATCTTGCTGCCAATGGTCCGAGCTGGCTTATTCCCGTGCCAGCAGACTGAGAGTTATTTCGTCATTAGCCACCATCAAGCACCAAGTTCCTTCCTTGGTACCAGACTCCATATTTCTTTCCGAGGTACTGCTTCCCGGCCCTGCAGCTTGTCAGTAGTCTCCGCGGCATGGATATAATTGGTTCGGCTGGCTGTCATGGACGGAGCTCCCCGGCGAAATAGTGGGACTGGGCCGAGGAAAAGTGCCGTGCTTGGCGCTTTGCCCTGATCTTTTGTACGCGCATGTTGTGATTGTACCGTTAGTAAATATGAAGGAAAAGTTTTCTGCAAACCTAGTCTACATTGTATGTACCTTGTGACAGCCAGATACTTCTAGCCTCAAATACCCATCCGATTCTGTCAGCTGCTTTTTTCCGGATCATCCCCTGTTCACCTAGTCGACTGACAAGACCGTTTTCCTTTTCCCAAGTAATCCGGATAAGCAACCCATTGAACAGCATGGGCGAATACACTGTGGCAGACGTGGCGGGACACAAAACCAGAGATGACCTTTGGGTGATCATCCACGGAAAAGGTAGCATTACTTCCAAATGCGCAACGCCCGCCGGATATTTGTCATTCTACTAACTAATGCTCCCAGTCTTGGACGTGACGAAACACGTGAGAGATCACCCTGGCGGGGCTGACGTCCTCCTTGATGTTGCCGGGAATGATGCAACGGTGGCATATGATGAAGTTGGACATTCTGAAGATGCAGATGAGCTTCTAAAGGCGTACGTGGTCGGTACCGCCAAAGATGCTCAGGAGATTAGTCGTGCCAAGGCTGTACGACTGGTTCAGAATGTGGCTGAAAACCCAAGGCCAACTTCAAGCGCATCTGTTCGTTTTGGCACAACTACTGTCACGGTCGGCTCGATTACTGCAGCCCTCTCCCTGTTGATTGCGTCACAAGGCCGTCTTGGCCTGCCCGACGTGTTGTCAAGGTTCGGTCCACTCTCTCAGCTGCAATCAAGATGGATCTCAACTGTCCACATACCGCAAGGAGGCTTTTCAAACGGCTTCATCGCTGCTACTTTCTTTTGCGCAGCCATCGGTGGCATGATTGGACTTCGGCTTTCCAATCTGACTCAAATAGAATCGGGTTTCGAAAAATACCCTCCACACATCAAGAGTAGACCGTTGGCTAAGGCAAACCCCCATCTTTCCAAAGGCTTCCTAGAGCCCAAGGAATACAAGTCTCTCCGTCTCATCAAGAAAGAAGTCTTGTCGCCGAATGTGTATCTTTTCGTTTTCCAGCTGCCTGGCCCCCAAGACGTTATCGGTCTACCTATTGGTCAACATGTCGCCATCAAAGCCAACGTTGGCGGATCAGACATCTCGAGGTCATACACTCCGACGTCAAACAACACTGATATAGGCAGACTGGAATTAGTCATTAAATGTTATCCTGACGGGGCGCTCACCGGAAAGTATCTCCAGCATCTTCAACTTGGCGACAGCGTCCTTTTCCGTGGGCCAAAGGGGGCCATGAAATATACCAAGGGCCTCTGCAAAGAAATAGGAATGATCGCTGGCGGAACTGGAATCACTCCCATGTACCAGCTTATCCGAGCAATCTGCGAGGATGATTCTGATACAACCCAAATTAGCTTAATGTACGCTAATCGCACGGAAGAGGATATCCTTTTACGCAAGGAACTTGAAGCATTCGCCGGGAATTATCCAAAGAACCTTAAAATATGGTATATGCTGGAACAACCTCCACCGAAATGGGCCTATGGCAAGGGATACGTTACAAAAGAGCTCATGGCTTCAAAACTACCTAAGCCATCTCCCGACACAAAGGTTATGATATGTGGGCCACCAGGCATGGTAAATGCTTCTAAGAAGTCGTTGATAGCATTGGGGTTTGAAGCCCCAGGAGCCGTTTCCAAGATGACGGACCAGATCTTCTGCTTCTAGTGCATCCGGTGCACTCTGGCATTGCTATTACGTCTTATTAGACATTTATATACTCTTGTTAGTTGTATAGATAGATATTGTCATTTCAATTCTACTTTCTTACAAACGGATCGTAACACTAGATGGAGACTCGGCCGCGCTTCCCGTGAATCGGGTTCCCTCACAGCCGGCATACAGCTTTCTCGTTGCATATAGCTTTGCTCCCAGGAAGAGTCCACAATTATCTATGGGCTCGCTGCGACATTTGCTGAAATTTCTTGTGATATTGGCAGATTTATTTTGAGGTTTTTCTTAGGCCGCGGCAAGAAACGTACTCAGAGCCGACTGTATCCCAAGGATGCTGTCTCATTAAGATTTGCGAATTTCTTGTCTCTGAATTATTCTGGTGACGTGACACGAAAAATGTTGGGCCACTGCGGAGCATGGAAACACATTGCTAGACTAGCGTGTCTCGCACAGACCAAAATTATCAACTCCTTTTCTTATCCGCGCCCTAGAAGTGACTTCCTTCCGCGGCTACAAACCCCAAAATAGCTTTGATTCAGAATGGCAGTTCTTATGGACAGCCCCCACTCGGAATAGCCATAGACATATGCATGCCGGGTTGCGTGATGGAAAGCCACCGCAAGCGACCCCATAACCGCCGAGGTTCGGGAGCCGTTGCTCCATATTATCGTCACAGCCCAATCCACTCTTGGGCTTACGACTCGGATATCACGGACGGGCGCAATTCGCATTGTTGATCCTCGGGAAGCTTATCGACCGAAAGAACAAGCTAGTCTGGCATTCCATGAATGACGAAATGTAGGCTCGCAGAGCCACAATCATGGCAAAAAGAGCCTTCAGTCGTCGTATAAGTACGTTTTCCCCTTCTCTGTCAGTCACCACATCACCAGTTTGCACGGCTCAATCTTTTATAAGAATCCTATTCTTAAACCACATATTCTGAAGCCGCCTGATCACATAATGACCGCCCCTACGTGGTATCCACCCGTAAAGTACACCAGCCGTCCCGTTGCCATTCTCGGCGCAGGTGTCCTTGGGCGCAGAATAGGTATACGAACTCCCTGTTACATCTCAAGTTCAAAAGCTAACAGCGGTCAATAGCCTGTATCTGGGCATCGGCGGGATACAACGTGTACATACGAGACCCTAGCGCACAGCAACGCGACGACTGTGTGGCATACTTCGATGAAAATGTAGCCTCGTATGCCCAGAAAACTGGAAAGGCTCCTGGTACTGCAAAGGCAGTCGAGGACGTGAAAGATGCCGTTTCGGACGCTTGGCTTGTTATAGAAGCCATTCCGGAGAAGCTCTAGTTAAAGATCGATACCTTTGCTGAGCTGGACGCTCTTGCGCCGGCTGACTGCATCATAGCCTCTAATTCTTCATCATACAAGTCTTCTGAAATGCTTGACAAGGTTTCATCGGAAAGAAAGACTCAGATCCTGAATATGCATTACTACATGCCTCCTGCATGCATGATTGTGGAACTCATGACGGATGGCCACACGTCGCACCCGATATTCAATTTCATGGTTGAGCGGTCAAGGGAAGCGGCGACGCTACCGTTTGTTGCAAGGAAGGAATCGACTGGCTTCATTTTTAATCGTCTCTGGGCCGCTGTCAAGCGTGAAGTCTTGACCATTCTGGCCGAGGATGTTTCCGTTCCTGAGGAAATTGACTCGATGTGGACTGAAATGTTTCTTAAAGGTGGCTTGGCACCTTGCAGGACAATGGACGGTCAGTGTTTTCTTTTCCTTTTTTCGATATTGAGGAGCAACTTGGGGCTCGCACTAACGAGAAATGTAGAGGTCGGACTCGATACAGTGGCATTCATCGAAGACCATTATGTTGCGGAACGTGGCTTGTCACCTGAGAAGACTGTTGACTTCTTGCAAAAGAATTACCTAGACCAAGGCAAGTTGGGAAATAAATGCGCCAAAGGTGGTCTCTATTCGCCAACGAACTTAACTTCCACCACCACCAAGAGTAAGTCGGATGAGCCAAGGATCCTGGTCTTGGATATCGGCCTGTCTGCAGCTATTCCGACTACGACATCTGGTGAGATACTTGAGATTTCTCCCGACGGGAAGATTCAACGGGTTCTAGTTCGCAACCAGTCATACCCCGATGGCCTCGGGGTGGATTATGCAAGCGGGCGGATATTCTGGACCAACATGGGCGTCCCAGGGAAGAAGGATGGCTCTGTCCAATCAGCTAACCTCGATGGAACCGACGTCCGTATTTTGGTTCCTCCCGGCACTATTAACACTCCCAAGCAACTCGTGGTCGAGGGCACTGAGAAGAAGATCTACTTCGCGGATCGCGAAGGCCTTGGCATATTTCGTTGCAACTTCGACGGTTCCAAGCTAGAACTTTTAATCAGGAATGGCGACGCCGAAAATCCAAAGGACCGAGAGGACGCCTTGAGATGGTGTGTTGGTATTGCTGTTTCCCCTAAATTGGGGAAGTTCTACTGGACTCAGAAGGGGCCTTCAAAGGGCAACAAGGGACGCATATTTTCCGCCAACATCGCAACTCCCGGTGGCCAATCCGCCCCGTCTAGGAACGATGTTGAATGTCTCCTTGATTTTCTGCCTGAGCCTATCGATCTTGAAGTAGATGAAGAAACTGGCACGCTCTATTGGACTGACCGTGGCGAACTTCCCTTTGGTAACTCCGTAAATCGGGCTCGGCTAGATAATTCTGGCCGCCTGGTGAAGCCTGCTTCCCCCGGAAGATATGAAGTTCTCACTAGGAGTCTCAAGGAGGCGATTGGCCTGAAGCTGGATACCCAGAATCGGCATATTTACCTGACTGACCTCGGCGGCAATATTTACCAGTGTGATATGGATGGTAAGAATAAGCGTGTACTTCACTCAGACGACTACCGAGCATTCACTGGCATCAGCATCTTGTGAGTACCCAAGCCTGCGCTCAACAACGGATGTGAGATATCCGCCGGCTGAACAACATTTTATCAAGAGTACATCTTCATCCAGCATAGTCATAGTCACTCATAGACAATGGTAGAAGAGATTAGTAGGACCCAAGTCGCTGGTAGAATGCCGGCTCTGTAGCTAGAAGAAGGCATTTATTTAGATGAAACTATAGCAAGCTTGGTAGTTGAATTCAATGTTCAATCCTGACCCTCATAGTGTTCTACTACCTAGCATATAATCCACACACATCCAATGCTTCGCCAGCCAAGCACAGCCTGAATGTCGTTCCTGTGGCATTGAATCCCGGAGCAACTTTTGATATCTGCATAGAGTGAGCCTAAGCAATCACCATTGGGGTAGAATCGTACGGATTGGCCTGTCTGCTGGACTGAAGCTCCAAAAACCGGGCTGTCCGGCGTATAGAAGCTTTGAAATCGCACCTCGAGATACTGGCCACCGGATATTTTGCATCGTACTCTGCCAGGTTGTAAAGTGTTATAGTGGTGGCGGGGCTGCTCGGGGCAAAACGAGAGGTAATAGTGAAACTAGCGTATTTCGTGATGTGTCTTATGCTCGGGAGAGCGGTTAAAGTCTTCGTATCGGTTTTGAACGGTTTACGTTCGTAAATATAAGATTGCTACTTTTCTTCGGTAGGCTACGGACCCTATTTATAATAAAACGACCCACGGGTCACTCTTATTACTGCCCTTCATGTCCACGATATCTTACGATACGTTCTTTTGACGAGAACTACCGTCGAGTGGAGTCGTGCTGTTCGGCAGTACTTGCAGAACAGCACGGAACTCGTATACCTCGGCGCGGATGTATCTCGGGCTGAATGGAAAAGGGACACGCTATTCTCCGCAAAGAATTAACACGGAATAGCGTTTCTAGCCTTGCTTTTAAACGCTTCAATTGGGCTGTTGCAAGTTACGTCTGGTAGCATTTAGTATTACTCTTTGTGGGACAACCCAGGGTTTAATTGATCTACGAAATGTTTCTCTCATCCCCCTATCATAAGAACGTATATTACTAATACCATCCCCATGGCCCTCTTTCCATAGTTTTTCAGACAGAGTGTCTACAATTTGCGCAAGCCCAGCCATTTTTCGACCTGTCCGCAAACCATTCCCACACGTAGCAGGTTGTTGCCATTGCTTACCCGTCTTCGCTCTTTGTGAAGTCCCTGAATGGATGACCTTATAGATGACCTACGATATCTATAAAAAGGGTCTAACATACCTGGCTAGATGGCTTCAACCCAAGGACCAATCCACTATTCAATTCGATCCATAGCTTTCAGTCGCGATAATCTGGCACTAGTGACCCCAGTTGAATGTCACCAAAAGACCCCCAAAAGTTCATAGCGGATGCCTCGTCTAAAAATGCATCTAGAACATCATCATTTGCCGTAGGCATTGGGGTTGACTCATCCGCGGCATTCGCTCGCGAGAAGAAAGGATCTCTCATATTGGGTTCACAAGCCAGCGTATTGGTTGAATAGTTGGGATATAGCTGACGGATCACTTCCAAGAAAACGCCGCGGTAAATGGAAGCAGATGCATAAGTCTCTTCCAGCTCTTCCATAACCATCATGCAAAGCTCCAGTTTATTAAGGCTGAGTCGGCGAGTAAGTGCATCAGTAGATTTACAATTGAGAAAATGTATGTGCATGACCGAAACTAAAAGGGGAGGACTGTACAATTTTAGCAAGCGCCATTCGAGACGTATGTGGGAGCATTACTAACGTCATGGGGGCCGCAAAGCCTACAAGTCGGTCCCGAACAATGTTGTCAATAATTGCATTGGCCCGTAGGGCTACAGCGTCTATCTTGTTTCTTATGCTGGCTCGCCATGCTTGTCTATTGGCGAGGGGCAGATCTTCTGGGACCTTGGTCATGTAGGGGTTATAAAATGTGATCAAAAGCGTGCTGATTTTATTTAGATTACCGCGCTAGCAAACTTTGTAGAGACGAGGTCGTCCACTTACTGGTAATGTAACTGCAAGTGGTAGAGGTAGAAGAGGGCAAATTTATTCTGTTCATTTGCACATTTGTCCGGAACCTGAAGCTGCTGAATATCTGCTTCAAGGGATTCAACCTGTTGCAGCGTGGCAGCTGGGCTAAAGGGCTGGTAGCCTAATGTCAGAACATCGCCAAGGAGCTTGCTGAATCGGATGAGAACAATCCAGTACTCGGCCAACTGAGACAGGTCATCCGGGATATGGCCTTGGATAATTGACGGTGGTAACTCATCCAGGTCACTTATCACGTCAGCGACCGACGGCATCGGCGTGTCGCAATCGTTCAGGTTCATCCTCAATGGTCGCCCAAGTGTCAAGCTCAGCCATCGATCTCGAAAGAAGCAGCTCCAGAAAAGACGTCTCCAAAGATGACGTCGGTAGGCGGGGAACGACGCATTAAACTTTACTGAGTCTGGGTCACGGTGCAGACCCAAAATTTGGCAGATACTGATTGCAATTCCTGTCCAATACCATGGTTGTGCATGGCTGTGTCTTTGCGAGTGCCACAATCCCATGAGCAGAGCCGACTGGAGCAGAACCACCTTGTCCGTCTCGCCACCGTTATCATACATACACTAACATCCCCAGGAGTTATTAGCAACAAGACAAAACATAGCTACTCCCGTGAATGGAGGTGGTGTTTCTACTTGCTTTCGCACGAGAGTACATTGCAGCCTTCATTTCTTTGCGAGATGAGTAGCCTTCTACGGTCCAGGTACGAGCGTCGACAAACTGCAACCCAGTTTAGCCAAGACATTCTTTACCCAGTGAGTTGCCAACTTACATTTGCAGCCACGAAGAACATGCTCCACAATAACAGCAAGTTCCATTCACTAGTTTCACCGGTTTGGTGGAATGTAAGGAGCAATTTGGCATCGATTACTGGCATGATGGGGTGTATGTGATGAAAGTACGCTCGGAGGAGTTCGCTGCATGTGCTTTTCTGCGGCAGAGTGAAGACTCCTTTGTGCTGGAGATAGTCATGGTCCTCTTTGGACAGCGAAGTCGATTTCTCGGATGAAATGAGAATGTGCCGGGCGACAGGCTGCGACGACGGCGAGCAATAATTCAGTACAGATGAGAACCCAGGGGCTTCACCTGTTGCAATGATGAGCTTCGTGCTGAGTGGTTGTGCATCTGGAAGGCCAAAGGCGTCCCGTGACCCAGCTTACCAGTGTAGAATGGTACTTGGCCTACATGTTTACCTTGTCCCAAAGCCGCAGAGGAGATTTCGATTCCAGTACGCCGTTCGTCTGGGATAGATTGTAATCCGGTAGTGGACCGAGGAGGACTAGACTCAGCCCCAGCATTTACCGAACCCTGCTCTTGGGCGGAATACGTCACCAGAGTATCGAGTCTTTGCCCCGGCGAAGCTGGAGATTCCGAGTGAGGTATGTTGCCTGTGGCAGTGATTTGACGTTCCTGGCCAACAGCTGTTTGGGGAGGTGGTTGGATCTTCTGTCGTCTGATAGTCGTATAACCAGTTGGTCAGCGCTTCGGCGGAAAAAGGGAGAGGAAATATCTCATTCTGGGCGTAGGTGGTAATATTCTAACTTTTGGCTTTGAGTCTGGTGGACAAGGCACTCAGCATTGTCCTGCATACAGCCGACACATAAGACGCCGGTGACGGAGAGGCTGCATCGCACTTTGCGCCGACGGCAATTTTGACATGCAACGGCTGATCTATGGCGTGGCTGACGACCCTGGAATGGCATGGCAAACAAAACACAAGTAGGTAGTAGAGCGGCTCACAGCTTCGCCCTTGGTGGTCGGTTGATCTGTCTTGGCTTGGATGCCAAGGAAAAGAGCGAGGTCCTCGGAATAAGGTCATGGGGGTGGGGACGATTTCTATGAGAACAGAGAGCCGAGCTTTCACTCCCAAGCATAATCTTTGGCGTTCTAAAACGGGCGCGATATCTGTGGCCACCATGTCTGAGCTCTGACGTGACGCCGGTGCTTGTTCCGACCATGTGGATTCTCCATCTTGGAGCAGGTTAAACCCATGGAATCGATATCCCGAGGTAAGCAGCCCCACTGGCGATTCCGAGGATCCAGGACCCGTGGCCTCATTGTCGCACGGCACAACAGCTCACTAGCTGTATTGGGTATCAGGCCGCGTAACACGCTTGGAATTACGTAGGTTCACAATGGTCCTGAGTGAACCTAAATTCGAGATGCAAGGACCCAAAGCCAAATAATGACATGACACTTCAATGTTACACCCGCGGCATCCGGCGCGGCCCCGCTCCGCCTATCCGGCACAGCCGTTCGTTACTCAGCCGTACGTTACTCTCTCACTCACACACTTAGTTATTCCTAAATGACCTTGAAACTCAATCCGTCTCAGCTTTCCTCACAACCGCTGGACTCACAAGACCCACCGCTCTCCCCGGCGAGCAGACGCATTTTCCCATTAACTACCGGGTCGGAGGCCGCCTTGCGCGTATATTCAGCTCGAATATTATTCGTCTAAAACTTTTCTATCTTATGGGGGGCGAAATAATAGGGGCAAAAAGCCGCCTGGCACGGCTGTTTGTCGCCGGAGCTTGTGTGCGGCAGATAGGTCCTGCGATTCGTCCGCAGCAACTCGAATGGATTATCATTCGAACGTCGTTCGATAAAGCTCTCGGTAGCTTTAAATGGAAGATCCCCTTGCTATGTTTTTTTATTTCCGGTCAATTTCTCCAGTGTTCAAGAGAATGAGCTCAAGTACGCCTTAAGACAGCATCTTATTCTTTGGAGCAAGATTGCGATAAACGAAGTGAGGTGTAACATCCGATTTGTGTGAAAAGTTGCCAACGACACTCCCCGTCACTGCACAGAATCCCTGTGGCTCGCAAGCGGACACAGCCATTATCCGCGACATCCAAATAAAACTCGGTCAATCCGGTTCGTTGGGCCAAACCCAAGGGCACGGCAGGATCAATGCCTCTGCTGTTGTAGCCAGCTTCATGGGCACAAGTGGACCGGCTCCCATTAGCAAGCGCCCTGACGGAGCCTTAGGAACCATTGGCGTGGTGCCAAGCGAAGACAATAGCTCCATAACGCCTGATAAAAGCCTCGAATAATACAAGCGTCAGGCTGCTGAGCTCTTCAAAGGCGAGAGCAATGACGTGGTTAGCCGCACGACGCCTTATGACGGCGCGAGCAAAAGCAAGCCCAAGCAAAAGAAGCCTCCCCACGGCGCGGGGAAGGCAAAAGACAGAGGCAAAGTAAAGGGAAAGGCAAGGGCGCGGAATAAAATCTCTCCAAGATTTATCGCAAGGAGGCTTTGAATGACGATACGCCCGGCCAGGGTGCGGAAACAGGTCTTCCCACCTGTAACGACGAGGGCGTCATCAACTTGATCTATCACCAGGTTCGTAGCCTAATTTTGCGGTCCGAAATTAACGTCACCTCCCGCACTTGCGATTGCCAATTATCTAGATTAATGATGATGGCGCCGGCCCCTTGATGCTGCCATCGACGGCACATCCGGCGGCTCTGATGTCAGCGCGTTCCAACCGGCATCGGTCATTTGCGACATTCTGGGATCTTCCGGTATTGGCTTGACAACGAATACTGATCACCCCTTCCAGGTCCAGATGCCCGAGGGCATAACATGTGATGGGGAAGTTGTCAGTGTCAAAGACGTGTGCATTGTTCGTGTGCGCAATACGGCCGGCGCTGGTCCTTTTGGCGGCAGTGCCGCTTTCACGCAGAGCCAGGAGAGCCGCGAGCGCGCTATTACTTATCGTCTCCGGAAACGCATAGAGGTTGGCAGAAGCAAGAACAATTAATGTGGGCGGGATAGCATGGGCTGCTAGTCTCGAACTATAGCCGACTAGTTTCCCTAGTTTCATCTATCCATCACTCATATATTCTCTTCTTGGCTTATCTATATTATTGAAATAGAAATTGCCTTGACGGAGGCTATTAATACGTTGAGGTGTGTGTCTAGCCCTCGCGATCAAAGCTCTCGTGAGCGGCGTTGGTTCCCGCCAAACGTGCTAGGGGTAATAGCGGTCCTTGGATTCTCTTCATATTTTGTGTATTACTCCGTTACATCTATCCTAACATTTAAGAAGGCCGTTAAGACGTGATGTATATTGAGTTGGGCACAATGCGGGAGGGATTCTTGTTGTCTCGACTTTGGACACGGCGAACTGCTTTTCAACTTTAAGCCCTTCACGTAGAGCCTCACTTAGCTTTAATCGACTAACTTCCTATACGTAGGTAAATAGATACCTACTCAGTACCTGATATAGTAACTTCATATATTTAACTAACCTAAAAATCCCTTCGCAGCTGTACTAACCATCCACAACGCTGCTTCTCTTAGATGCTACTTGCGCATCTTTGTCTGACTGGAGTCGCGTGGCGTTCTCTCCCTAGTATTCGGCATGATAATCTTTGGCTATCCTTATCACGTTTAAATGCAACAATTCTACAAAGGAGGACTGTTAGCATTAACTGGCTTCAACTGCCTATAATGATGTCAACTAGTAGCCAGTCCTGCCGCATCCTCGTCCCAGACGTCTGAGACGGGTCGTATATCAATAGCACAACGACAACCCAAATATAAGGGGCAATAATTGCTGTTCAATTTGGGCGCGTTCTCTTTGTGACATAGTTCTGCAAAGTATTCACTTTAGTATAAATAAGAGGTTACGTAGTAACTGCGTCTTTTATCTTCCACTTAATTTAAGCACTATTAGCAAATACATGTATCGACTTCACAACGAATAACCAAGAAGGCTTTAAGTAGGCCGCAAAAGTGTATAACAGCAGCAATCATAACCGCAACGTGAAAAATTTGGTGACTAGCGCCAAAAATATCAACCGTGCAACGAGTCTATCTTTCCGGAACCTATCTGAAGTTAACACTTTGGGTTCACAGCTGTAACTTAGAAATATCTTACTCTAGCTGCATAAATGGCTGTGCCTACATGATTAGACATGGCCATCCAGGCCATCCAGTTCAGTGACATATGTGCTCTTTGAAGATCCCATCCGTAGATAATCAAGCCATGACCGACAAATATAACAGAGCTTAGCCTAAACTCAGCGTAAAAGCATACACGCCAACATCTAAAAAACGGCGAGACAAAACGCGGGTGTAATGTAACCATAGCACAACACAGACCAGTGCTGCTTGTCTGGGAAACGTCAGACTAGTTGACAAGTAGGGATTATTATTCAACCCACAGTTATCTAGTATACCCACTGTAAAGTTTTGTTGTAAAAGAAGCTATAATAAATCGTTGGAATACCGGCACCCCACATTAGAACCAGGATACCGAAATAATCTAGTTAGCTTATTGCATAATGAGGCAAGAGGGTAGCTATGATTGCACATAATGTGAAAGCTTGGCAGCGATTAGTAATATTACAAAATGAATACCCTTAGAAGCCTTACTAACATTGCTGATAACGCAAAGCACACTGAAACACTAAGATAGTAAATAGATATTACAATCACGTCGTTAACATGGGCATTTAACCGGCCCTAGTAAATATAGGAATAGAAGAAGAAAGGTAGCGCAAAAAACGCAATACACCTAACTAAATGTGAATATATATTAATCGTTTGGTTGTGCAGAAAGAATAGGCTGGAAAAGGAAGCCGAGGCAGAACCAGACGTAGGCCTGCCATAGGACTTCAGTTCAGTCATATTATATATATACTCTTATATGCTTACTTATAGCCCGTTAAAGTTTAAGGGTATTTGTTGTCTTGCTGCCACTGCGGTATTTCGTGGAAATCCAGCAACCTCGGCACTTCCAAGCGGATATAGCCTGGTCTGTTGTGTTTCATAGAAGGATCCTTTTCCATACCCGCTAGAGGAACAGATTTCGATGTCACTCGTCGAAAAGACATTTTTCGTAGAAAAGGTATGACAAAAGTAGTGCTAGTTGATTAGGGAGAAGATTTTGTCTACTCAACGCTGTGTGAATCGCATCACTATTCAAAACGCACACATTAGTTCCGCCGCAACATGATACGTAACTTGAATATCATCGCGTGGAAGTTTTGATACACTTCTGTCTAGTGTGTTTTTCGTGTGTGGTCTGACTAATTAAAGGATCGCAATGTGAGCTGTGCACCAAAAAACACCGCACGATAAAGCAGCGACAGCTAACGTTCTCTCCTTTCAATAATACGACAAGTAATTTTAAGAACACAGCTAACCTAGCAATTCCATAATTCTCTAGTATTATTACTACGTTTTTTAATTATTATAATAGATGCTAAGATGCTTATGTTTCTGATACGAGAAACTCGAAGAGCGTCTTTAAATCAAAGGAAGCGATGCAGACCGGATAACGTGTTACATGGTCACGTAGTAATATAAGCACGGGCCGCACCTTGAACCTGACAATAGTTACACAAGGGCTTCAGACCTAATTGAGGCCTCGGACTCTTATTAGGCTTGCCCACTTACCGTTATCTTATACAAATGAAAGGTATTTGTTCTCCTGTAGAGTGTAGCTCTTCCGTATCTACCGAGATTTACCTAATTCAGTTAACATGAAGAGTTAGCTTGCTAAAAGAAAATATTATGTAGAATCTTACACGAAACGAAAGGAAACGAAGCAGCACCTACCACCATATCAAGGCAGCCGCACACGCCGGTGCGTAAACACCAAGTTATAAGCGATATAAATAGCCGGAGGACTGCAAATACATGGAGGCGAGAGATGTTCCCGCAGCTATAGACAATATATAAGAAGCTTGTGAGAAATGAAGATTAGCCAGCGTGTGGAGACAAGCGTATCGTGACGTATCTCTCTTTAGCGATTAGCAAGAGCCACGATTTGCTCACTAAAAATTGTTGTAGAGCTTTAGCGACACTGTTTTAATGCGAAAAGGGCGCATTTTATGTTTTACGCTTACGGCAAAATGTAGGCGTAGAAAAGTTGCAAATTAAGGCGAAAATTCCCATCCTGCCCTGTTAAATTAGATATTTTTATCATTTAGAATACGTAGGCATGGAACTACCTAACGACCTAGTATCGTTGACTATAGCTGTAACCCGTCTCACGAAAACTCACTACAGTAATGTTGGATCCAAAGTGCCTACATGGTCCACGTATCCATGTCCGTAAATCGGCTTGTTCTACCGATCACTGCCGGTAAATCGCAGCTTTTCGTTGCCTACCACCCCTGTTTTCACGTCGACTCCATTAACCTTGCCATTACCTTCGGGAAGCATGATTTTTTCAAAGTTAGAGACGACAGATCTTACACCACTAGTAAAACCTTTCCCGTTAAAGTCACAATGGCCTCCACCTGGAGAGTTATCCACCGTCTGAAGTGCGTCGATCTGCTGGGTATCTAAGCCTGCCTTCCTAGCCTCGTCTTCATACGCCTGAACCGTCTGAGGAATGCTTCTTTGTAGAGATGAGAGTTCCCTCTGAGATGACTGGGTGTGAATTCGAGTATTAGGAATAGCAGCTCTCGCTTCGCGAGTGAACGGTACTTGAGGAGGCAAACCGCCGCAGTTCAGTAGAACTCCCGTATTTGGGAATTGGCCCATATGGGCGGGTATAAAGAAGCCGGAGAGCGTGAGAGAGCCACCACTAACGCCGGTGAACCAGACATTTGATTGATTGAAGGAGACAACTTTGGGAAGCTCTTGAGTGATAAGATCGGCAACAGCTTGGGAATGAGCGACGCCATCGGGCCTCTGCTGGTTTCCCCTGTCAGCACCACCCCATTTGAGGTTTATGTCGGGAGCCAGGACTGCAACGCCCATCAGATTGGCATTGACGCCCTGGTTAGGGAAGTCGAAAAACGAATCGCCTCCATCACCATGAAGCAATACATTCATGCCAATCGTGCCTGCAGCATCCGCAGCATCCGCAGCATTGCCACCCTTCACGCCAGAGCCTGTTTTGAATTGATCGGCAGGAGCGCTGACTTTGTATCTAATATCAAGGCCACTAGTTCGTCCTGGTTAGCTGAGCTGAAACTATATCGTGAAGGTCAAAGACAGGCGTGCTCTTACTTAATTTTGACGGTTGTGTCGAGAATGACGGAGCCATCTTGGGCCTTGGAAATGCCTCCTGGTTTTTGGGCCGCCTTTTGTTGTGGTGTTTGTTTTGCTTTGCCGCTGCTATTACCGCCACGATTACCGCCTTGATTACCACCTTGTTTGCCTTGTTTACGCTGAGGAGCGGCTTCACCAAAGCATATACAGAGGATTAGGAGAGCACATAGGACCAACAAACCCGTTCCTCTTTGTTTAAACATTTTTTCCGAGTACTAGGTAGGTGCTGCATAGAATAGTATAAAAAATAACAACAGGAAAGATTACCATTGAATGGAGAGACTTATACTGCGGGCCAGCCGATACAAAAGGAAGAGACAAGATGAGAATGAGAACTGGCTTTAATTAAGGAACTGGTTACATTTTGAGGTATACACTCGCAAAAAACGCGAGTTTCATAATAATAGGGGCGCCGTGATACCAGGAGTTTCGGATCCGGTTTCACCGAGGGATCAAACGTCGTCTTGTCTAACTCTTACAGGTGTGGGGAATGGAGCTGGGATATTGAGCCCCTTGCTTACTAGATCTTTCGGGGGTATCCAAATTCTACATAAATGCTGTAGCACTAACCAGCATGGTTGGAATTAAGTAAACATGCTGCACCTAGAAGGTAATCTAGTTTAAAATGGAAGCTTAAATGGGATAAGACAACTGGGGTAATGTCGACTTAATCATGTAACCCCGACTATGAATCGCTAGCCTTGGCATAAATGACCGTGCCTTCAAGACTCATGGTTATATGATTGACATAACCACCAGGAGCCGGCTTGTACTAGTTTAAGAGCCTGAATATAGCGCAATTATCCACCATCCCTCACAGCTGGGAAAAGTTTCATAGAAAGCCAGGTGCCCTTAGTAGCATATATATGTACATATATATGTGCATATGTGTGGAACCGACGAGATTTCACTTCTCAATACCTTAAAAACGACTTCCTGCGACTAGTTCTATGACTCGTCGTAGCCTGCGTCTCCGGACAGTGGCATATTAGTCGCTTTAGCCGAAGTGTCTCCAAGACGTCCAGTGAAGCCGACTACCTAGATGGCTCACAGACAGACGAGCCAAGTACGACAGTGGCGTTCTCCGTATAGTGAAGCAATAGTACTGAACTAGTCGAGCTTGCTGGAAAGGGCAGCCACTAATCGCTGGATACATTTCTGGAGAAGCTGAGATTATTTGGTGCAAGCCACGTTGGAGGAATCGTATGTGGCGGCAGCTCTGGAATATTATCGATCAAATGGAATCGAACTTGTAATTACGAAAATCAAACGACTGTATGGACCGAGATTGGCGTTGTATCAAAGCTTGAGCTAGGGGAGCCTGGGGCGAGGCTGAGATCACAGCTCATGACCAGAAGGCTCATAGCTTACACAAGCTAGACATTCGCATGAGTGGCGATCGGTTTAGTTCTGACATGGCTGATCTGGTGCTAGTCATGATCGCCGCGTTTGGCCCTTGCTCAGAAAAAGAGAGCGTCACGGCACTTTGGTGTCTCGTGTTTCAGACAAGCTGTATCAATTGATCCCCAAAATTCCACCAGACGCTATCTGAAACTCCGTTGGGACGAAAGATAGAAAGCTATTTGCAACTATGGCAGAAACAATGGCGGCTTCACAGCCGCTCTCCGATTGCCTCTCTTGATTTAAATGTCAAGTTCGATTGCACCGAGAGCGCTCGGAGCTTCGCGGCGCCTCAATCAGGCAAGTGCGTAAACACCAATGATGTCACTGGTCTGCAGCCAGCCGATTTGCACTGGCGCTTGGGCCTCCAAACATGAATGTTTCCACCACAAGGACGTCCCAGAAATCTTGTCCCCTGGTCGCAGTTTGCCAGACATCCATGTCTTGAATGTCAGCACCTGGGCATAGCTCTATCAATCGCGGTCATTCGATTCAGCCATTGATAGAACAAGCTCCCTAGAGCCAGCCTGACGCCTTGGCCACACGCATCTACCTGGGTACGGCCCTCGGTGCCTCTGCTTTCCGACAACGCTGACGATTGCGTCTAGGTAACCTCCCCTACACGGCCAAACCCTACGATATTGAGGAAGGGCTCGGGATCAATGGCCTCAGCCACATGGAAAAGATCCATGTATCCTTTGACCTCGTCAGCGGGCGAAACCCAGGCTACTGCTTCGTCGACTTTCCCGACCGCGACGCTGACGACCTCGCCCTTGGCTCCTTGAGCGCAACCATCGGCGGACGGCGTATCAAGGTCAACTGGTTGGTCGCTGCGAGCCCAAGAAGCAGCGCAATCGAGGCCAGAACCAAAGTCTCAACCCCGTCCTCGAGCGATGGGGCGATTGGACCACCCAATCCAGCCATGGCGACACGAAGGCCATTGAACAGGCTCCCCACGGCGCCATGAATCATTTTGAAGATATGCGAGAAGGCTCCGAGGGGCGAAGGCTCTATGTTGGTGGGCTGGGTAAGATGATTGACCAACCTCAACACATCCGAGACATCATGGACCTCTTCTCCGACTACCCGCCGCATGTGGAAATCCTTTCATCCTCCAGCTGCATCGTGCCCCGAATGATCACCATGTACATTGACGCATCACGCTGTACCAGACCACGAGGTCCAGACCAGGCAACCACCACTACTGCTTTCTTGACTTCAAAACCAGGGAGCAGGCGACCGCAGCCATGACAGCCTTGGACGGCAGGGTCGTTACCGGTGGCAAGCTCAAGGTAGAACGAGCGGACAGCCTACCAAACAAGCTGATAAAACACCAGGCCCGATGTCAACGTGAGACCTTGTCATATTAACATGTGACCAGAATGGCCTTGCCTGGGACCGCTGGAAAATTTCTGATAGCTAGTAAGTGTATTTATCAAGTCTACAATAACAGTTCAACTATCAATCAGCTACCGATATCGATACCGATACCTCGCCAGTGCTTTGGAACTAACTCTGGAGTCTGCAATAGCAAATACCGTTTTCCCACCTGTAGGCTCAAAAATACAGACATCTGTAGCGAATATTTTCGTCATCCAGCTTCAGAGTACCGCGGCCACGTGATGCAACAACAATCACCATTGAAGGACCATCTTACCCTGGCTATCACAGATTTCTACAGACACACATACAACTACGCATATTCTCCCTAACAACCGGCTATTCATCTTTTGTCCATGGAAGATGCAGTTCGGCCGAATGAGGTAGCCTTCAAGGCGATGTATGAGAGGGTACCGAACTTGATCGGCACTCTGGGAGAGAACCGTGCCGGATAAGCACTTCCCACTACACTACCTTACCGGCCCTTATTTAGCATTCCCCCACCATCCATACTTCCCTGAGTTCCTTACGCTGGACAAGTCATTTGAAAACACAGTCATGAGTGGTAAAACCAATTGGACAATCACCCACGAGCCCTGCGATCTCTCACCATTTCACCAAGATGTGGTTATCCAGGTGGCTTCAAGCTGCGTGATAACAATCGTCTTCGTCTCTGACTCACATCCAGCAACAGGGCTTGGTGATTGCCTTAGCGTCAAGAGCAACCATGTTACCATTCTTACGCTCGCTTGGGCATATATTCTCTCAGCTAGATGGGCGGAACTCATTCCTGGAGCACGCTTGCCTACTTACAACCACCACCAGGACCAGTCAAACGCCGCAAATAAGTTGAGACGGCTAGAAGACGACAGTTCTCCTGTTGTGGTGGATGTGGGGGATGTGGATGAAGATGCTGCTTGGTGGTGGACAGTCGTCCTGTCAACAGAAGATGGTTGGAAGGCCTCAATGAAGAGCAACACTGGTTTCCACATCTACGCACTATGGGCTATTAGAATCCAGTCAGGTCCAATTTTTCCATCTCGACAAGCATCTAGCCTCGCTCACATGCCACCGACTTACGTCCCGCATCCTTCAGCACTGCTATGCGCTACCTGTTAGGGTTTTGTGCTTTCCATGATGTTACAAACCAGAGCTGAGCAGCCCTCGCAGCGGCTTCGGTGGCAAAACCGAACAACAAAAAAATGAAACTGCTCATTCCGCGACCGCCGCGCAAGGCACCAACTCGGCAGCAGAGAAAACAGGCGATTTCGGCTTGGGACGGGAACTCTGCCAATTAGATCGACTACTCACGCTGAGCCGCAACACACGAGGGGTAAAGGGCCTTTTGAATAGCGTCTTTTTCAATCCGGTCGTAGCCTGTAATGCCTGTGGCGCTTTGGCACAGGTTCGTTCGCATTCCTCGACTCCGACAAGGCCAGGGACCCCCGGCTCCGCTTGCGTACGTCGATAAACAGAGATCCGGGCTTGGGTTTCTCTGGCTTGGTGCCTTCATCGCGGGCGCCGAAGCGCGCTGTCTCCGAGAAGCTCGCGCGGGGTGGTAGAAAGTCGATCTTAGCGCTGCTACCTGGACCAGAACACATATGTAAGAATTCGTCCCGAAGGCTGTTCCGTTTTCCTAATGGATTTCGCGAGCCGACGAATGCCGGTTGATGTACATGTACCAGTCTCACGGAAACGACCACGTATTGGGTTTGTCAGCTACGAGGTCATATTCCCTGTAACTAAGTGTAAGTAATTACATATGTACTTTAAGTGACACGAGTACCCTTGCCGCTCATAGCTACGTGAACCTGATAGTCGCACCTGCTGGGGCATTCAGTCTGGTGTTCAAGCGTATATGGGCATGATATTTACTATTGCGCTGGCGTATTTTGATGAAAGTAAAGAAAGAACTGGCTCTAAATAAAAGCCTAATGTGACAAGGGCAGGTTAACTGGGCTTGGAACAGAGGGTTCAATTTAATCTCAATAATCGATTTGAGGTATTAAGGGTCCTTGATTTTCAACGAGGCCTTAAGGGACTAAAGGTCTTTATATATACGAGAAGTCGGTAGTACTTGAGGGCTGAAGCAGGCCTCGCTTAGGTCCGACTCTAGGCCTCGTTATCTCCTTTGTTGTTGTGTGACCGTTGTTTGGCGCAACCTCCTTTGTTGTGGGCCAACCGTGTGACGCTCAACCTCCAACTGCAAGAATTATATATCTCATGGCAGGAGACGACTCTTTGCGAGTCCCCTGTTTCTGCAAGCGCAAGCCCCCGAAGCACAGATGACAGCCTGGCGTTTCCCTTGAAAGCATCCCGCATGTCTGGCCCTGGCTCATCAAGACAAGTTGGCAGGGAACACTCCATGAGACACTGAGTAGCAAATTTTGCGGATCTCCTTGGTTTCGGAGGTGGGAAACGGAGAGTTAAACGTGGAACGCTGCCCCGGAAGTCCGACGATGGTACGAATATCCGTTACAAACCTCTCTGCTTGCCGCTGACGTTCGTGAGACTGGTCTTGCACACCATGTGTTTATCGTGTGAGCTAACTACAACTCACCTTTATTTCCTTTAATGTATAGATAATAGTGAAGTCTCTGAGAATTTGGCATGGCAAGGAGGCATCCCCAACTAGATAATATCGTGCGTTTGTCAGCGCGGAAGGAAACTTTGCCTACAGGCACGGAGAATATTCCAAAGCTTATTCTTAGCGGCGGAAGCATGAATTGGAGCGGGAAATCACTTTTACCAAACGGATTCGTGTTTGTTGTAGACGGGTTAGAGGAGTCGCCGAAACCGACACATGCAAGCCACCCCTCTATGCATAAGAAGCGAAAGTAGGGACCACAATGGATTTTTATGGATGATTCCCTTCTTTTACCAATTTCTTCCATCTTATCATATAGAAATTGCATGTGTTGAGGAAAACGCCGTGATTTGCTGTGCGATGGACCTGCATTAAATGTCTCGTAATGGCTGGCAGGTACATGAGAAGCTGGCTTAATAAAAGACCACAGACCAACCACCATACACAGTTCCAATATAATCAAATATTATCGCCTCCTACGACATCCATTCGCGGAAACATGTGCGGAGCCTCGCCTCATCTTCAAAACAGCACGCTATGAATGCAGTGTGATGAACGGCCTTGATTTCACGCCGTGACATCTGGTCGTTGCTTGGCATAGAAATACAATGTTTACGACTCCAAAATATGTCAAGTCGGGCAGCTACAATTTATTGTTGATCCCTATCATCATGTTTCAGGATGAGGACCAAGTCGACTAGAGCCGAAGTCACATTCCTCCAGCAAGAGTGACAATCAATGGCCAAGTGCATCATATCCTGGCCCCAGGAGTGCCAATTGCCATTAATTTGGAGATGGTGCGTTGTGTGATTGCAACGATATGCATTGATGTCACCCGTACAGACATGTGTGAGAAAAGACTATCAAGGGGTAGCTACCACCCACCCTGTCACAATGTTTCGACATTGTTCCTAGAAGTAGATAATGCAATACAAGAGCCGGGTCGTTGTTGAAGCTACACTGGGATTAATGTATCTAAATCAATGGTAGGAGACTCAAACTACTTGTCTAGCACCAACAGCGGCCCCCTGAAGGCTAAGGCAACTACTTTATATTAAGCCTGTCTCAACGCAGGGACTTATAAGAGAATCTTGGAACCTGAAGTGTAAATAGAACGGTAAAGTATGGAGATACTCTACTGGGAACAAGACTCAGCTTGACCCGTGCCCTGCTGTTCCGAGGCAGGCGACATGTTCGACAACCCGTTTCTGGACGAACCTGCCTTTAAGAGCTTCATGACGTGGCAACCCACGGTAGCCCAGGTCACTGGATTCTCTTGGGTCTAAATCGGTCAGAAGCTCGAAGTTATACCGAGACAGGTCGAGACGGGTTGGCGCAAGGCTCGTTCTCTCGTTAGAGGAGCCAAGCGGGCATGATAGGACTTGAATGTTAATAAGGGCCAATGGTTTATTAACTTATTTAAAAAAGAAATCAAAAAAACGGGCTAGATGGAGGGCATCTAGTAACACTGTATTTGGCCGTACCTAGGCCAGGGAACCGTAACTAACCACGCAAGGCCAATGGTTTATATAAACAGCTCAGCTTTGGAGAGCCGCCATTTGAGATTAATTGGCACTACTACTTTTTAGTTGCTGAAGAGCATGTCCCTCGCTTGACACGACCAAGGCTGCTCCTCGCCGAACACAACGCTACTTGACCGTACGCTGGCATGTCCGATTTGGTGGGAGAGAGGGCCGCTGAGTGAAGGCTGGCATGATTGGTGAGCTCTTCATGTAGTTTCACCATAGCAATCGCCACTCGTTCCGGATAGTTGATTTTAATAGTATAGGTGCCTTTAAAATCATTGGCGATATTGTGGGACGGCCAGCTGCCTAGTTCTACTCCTGACGTCCAACAGGATAGCGACGATCTTTTTAGCCTCTTGCCATCGAGCAAGTCAGCCTCAGTCAGCCGTGTAGGGGTCTATCCGGAGGATTCCTCCCTGCCAAGGCTATAAATAACTGGAAGATTAGCCACAAGTACCGAGCCAAGCTGCTCGATAGACCTCCAAAGATATCACCGGACTTGCGACGTGCCGTTTCTGTACACTGGTAAACGCACGATGGCAATAGTGATGTGGAGGACACCTATAGAGAAGATTCCAATTACTTGGGGTCAGCTGGTAGGATTAGCATCTGCAACTTATTCACTATCCAGTGATTCTCAAGACTACGCTTGTGAGACACATACTGTTTTGGGGTACTATGTTGAAGTGACAATATCCAAACCACTGGGAATATGAGAAGCATATCACCAGTGAAAAACTCAGGGAGACAAAGGTCGAGAGTTGAAATCGAGCTCTGGTACAGGAGCCTGCTTTTGTCGTACCATTTTGTCAGACACGATACAACCTGGCGCCAGGCTCTAAGAGCATGAAAGCGGAGGACTAAGCAGGCTGTGGCAAAACCTGCCAATAAAGGAACAACGGAACAAGGTTAAGGGCGCAGGCTACCTGAAAGCCAAGATACGCAACATAGAGAACGATCCAATATATAGTAATTTTCGGCGCTGCGGCCGGCAAGGGTGAGAATATGCGCATGTACAGAAGGACGACTGACTTCTGTATCCATAGGGTATGAACCGATATATCGTTAGTCCGGTGCAACAGAGCAGATATGTTCCGTTAGTACTCATTCGGAGCGTCGTCTACTACTTACTATGTTGTGTATATGAATCTATTAGCTAGTGTAAGCTTGCTCCCAACTACAAGGTGGTATATCTCGGCCGGGTCTGGCTGTTTGTAGGAAGTCATTATTCATTGCCCCAAAAGACGACGACAGTCATATATTCTGTCTGGGCTTGGACAAATGCGATGGCAAGAAGCGTCAGGTAATCACTAATGTTGAGCGTCTTTTTTCTAATCTTGCGTATTGCGACGCGCAATACCATGACGAGGGTCGACGCGAAACCAAAGACGGCCGTGAGAATCAGGATATCCGCCTGGTTGTCTAAGGCCATATTTGTCCGTACCTCCAAATATGACAATATCGCAGGTAGAAAAGGAGGGAACACGTACAGTAGGCGAGGGGGACGTAGCTGTGTATTGCAGAGCAATGCGGAGCTTCTGAACCTGTTGAAGTGGCGGGTTGTCACGACTCACGACTCACGACGTCTACAGGACACGCTGTGTCTTGTCTTAGCTACTTCTCTGAATACAGACAGTTTCCTCCAAGTTAATGCGGTTTAATCTCATTCCAGGAAATGGGTGGCAGTTGCTGGTAGCAATTCACCTCAGCTGAGGAGAGGGGGGGTGGCAGTTAGTTTCACCAATTGGCTACATCCTAGCTAGGAAGAATCTGCAGCGGATTGAAGGCTGGGGCCGCCCGAGTGATGGCCTGACGGTAACTAAATAAATGGGATCCGGGGCCAATAACGTCAAGGGCCAATAAAGCGTCAAATGGCCTTGGCCGAGCAAAACACGAAGACCTTCGCCACTCGGACAATTCTTAAACCCAATTGCCCCCCGAAAGCCACAAAGAAGGTGTCGAAGAGTCACATAGCCGGTTCATCCCAAGCCCTTCCTTCTCCTCTCTTCAGTTTGCTACGGACCACGCGTGGGCGCCGGCGTATCATATTTGTATAATGACATCCTGGCGCTACAACTGGCTAACTCATTCAGAAAATGAGCAAGAGCAGTGTCTTTTAACGAAGGTCAATTTTGTGTAATGACTTGGAGCGATTTACAGGAGGTAAAACTAGGTCAGGGGTAAATATTAGCAGCATTACTAGGACGTCAATCATTCTGAGCTGCAGCGTTAGTTGGCGAAGACTGAAGACCCTAACTAGCTAATCGCAATCAGAGGCAAAACGCACTAAACGAGCACTATGGTTGTCAGCATTAGCCTGTTCTATAAAGAACACAGGATTAGCTAGCCTGCGTCAAGTGTGCCAGGCAATACATGTACCTTATAACTATATCATATACATGCTTGGTATGGCACGGTATCATTAAATATAGCCACCAAAAGCCTCGTAAAGGCTCACGCCACGGCCCCATTAAAGCCGGACTTCTAATACAGCTATACCCCTCAATTAAGAACCTTCTGGGTGACCTCTTGGATGACCTCTGATATCTATAAAAGGCCCTCAATCATCCAGCTGCATAGCTTCAATACAAGGACCAATTATCACAATCAATCAATCCATAGCTTTCATCGTGATAAAGAGGCTACCTCCTCCCGGTGGAATAGCAACTTGGATAAACATCTCCGTATAATTGGAATCAACCACATTATAATGGGATGAGAAACAAGATCTTTTATTAGTAGTTGCTTCAAAATTTCAACAATAAACGTGTCCAAGCCGAGAAACTCACACAAAAGATTCAGTGGATTCCCAAGAGCCGGAGTATCAACCTTCTGGACCAGGCTGATATTCTACCAACACCGCCTAAAACCCTGTCATCTTGGCATATGGCAGCGCCATTTCTGCTAAAAGCCATCTGGAAAGAATGAAAGTTATACTCAATTTTCCCACCAGGTGGCAGTCACGCGATATGGGCTCCAATAAAAACTTACTACTCTCTTCCACATATTCTTAGTAACAACAACATTCTCGAAACCATAGTAGGTGCTTGCCGTGAGTACCGTACAATGCTTACCTGGTTTCTCAATACCCTCATTCTACTCTCTCCCATAGCTACCCTTAAGAATACAAAGGGTTTTGCAAGCAGCACTTTAGCATTATCCACGGTATATTTTGCCCTCCGAGACCCAAAGATAACCTTGGCTATGACTGACAAATACAACGTGTCTAATTTAAATCATGAGTTCCGTACTAAACCAATCAACACTATCCGATCCAAAACTTAGAATACGAGCGACGTAAGCGTATACTAGTCCCTAGATGTTATGGGGATAGCATAGTCTGTCTCGGCTCGAATTCGACAACAGTGACAATAAAACAGAAAATAACATCGCGGAACACAGCAGCCTAATACACGAAGCGGTCAGATCCACTATCTTCAGTGCACAGTCCACTTTACTTCGGACAAACAGGCGCTTGATTGAACAAGTTCACTTGACTTTGGACATAGCATACAGACACTATATGTGACATCGCGCAAAATATAAGGAGCACAGCCGCATTTCGTTATCAGAAACTTATCTGTCTAAGTGACCTTAACTAATCTTCTAACAAAACGTGTAGGGGCCGCAAGCCGGAAACATGAGCATCCGCTATCCTAGGCTTTGGATTGTTCCCGCAACCGTGATAGCAAGTCACCACCTTCGCTAGGTTTTCTCGACCCTTTGTATCCTCGTCTATTGCGCCGGGTGGAGATTCGGTGAGAGTGGCACATCGATTTCCAGGTCTTTACACGTCTTTTATAGTCTGTTACGAAACTGTGTGCCACCTTTACTAGCTCTTACGAGGGATTTGCTTACACATGGTCAAGCCCATATCAACCATGCCTGTATCTTTTCCGTGGTAATTGGGCACTTGCTTGAATTATAGGAACAATAGAAATGCTGTGTCGGGCTTTTTCAGGGACTACCTGTTTCACCCAGATATGTGAGCTGATTCGAAGATCGATTGCCTGGCTGGTCAAGAGCCACCACAACCTCAAGAGCCCTCGAGTCCACATGCAGAAACGGCAGGGTTAGCGAACAGCCGACAGATTAGGGAAGACGTGCCATGTATGGGTGAGTGTTCGGGCAATGAACGCCCGTTCTAACTGGTTGCTTGGGATTCACTAGTATTGGTGACGGAGCATTTACTCGGTTATTGCCAGTACATGGCTACATACAAAGGCGTTGCTACCGAGTAAACGGTACTCTGCAGTAACCCTCCTCCATTGACCCTCGTCACCTTGACGCTGAGCCTATTAGCAATGGGGTCCATCCTCGGTAGTAGGATTACTTTGATTATATTCCGTTCATGGAGTTCATTACATTTATTATCTGTATTCATTGGACCACTAATCAAGCTCCATAAAGAACAGGGATCAATCTCGGACTTATGGAAACAACAATGGGTGCTAGGCACCAGAGTAATAAACACAGCGCAATAACGCCCTCCCTAAGAAGAACAATCTTGAGAAAAGGAAATGTATGGACAATCAAAGCCCGCAGAAACTAAGTTGAATGTAAAATGATCCGCGACAGTGCCTCCCAAGAGTTCCTTCGTCCAGTTATTGTTCGGGCATGTAGCCTGGTTCGTGAAATCTGACGATGACGGCGCGGTAGTTGACTCTGACGGTACGGTCAGGCAACCGTTCTTAGTCCGGAGATTATGCACTGGCACTGTCTTTGTAATAGGCTGCGATTTAACATCGACAATCTGGCCGCCATGGTTGCGGCACTGCACCGTGGCGGTGTAGGTACTGACGAGATCCACGTTTGCATTGGTGTTGCCAACTCCACAGATACTAAAGGCATCGCAGGTAACGCTTTGATCGGCGTTACAGTGACAGGTCACAGAACCGGTCTGGATATGTGCGCCATTCGGCGCACACGCCGGGTTCGGAGTCTGGGCGCTGACGAGGCTTACCGTCGTCAGAGTCGTTGAGATAAACAAGACGTGCTTCATTGTCGTGCGTGTTCTCTTGTATAGGAGCTGAAATTCAGTAGAGTGACAATAGGCAGATGTTTCCAAGAAGCGTCTGTATAATAAAACGTATAGACGACGGAGGGGATAAAATGCCTCGCTGATTTCCAAGCTCCCCTCGTTAAATATTCATTCGGCAGCGGTTCATGATCGAGATCAAGGCAAAACTCGTGTGAATTAAGCTCCCTTGGCGTCTAATGAGTATATCATGGTCGCCAGTTCTGGCACATGTTAAGGTTTAATAGAATAGACTAGGGCAGCCACGTGGCGAGAAACCGGCCGGCAAGCTCGGCGGCAATTGTCACTTATTTCCTGGACGTTCCAATTCCAGCGACTCTGACTAACCAAAAACTATTGTAATTATGCTGCTAGGACTAGACACATTTATAGGCACTTAATATCAATTACCTACTTTTTCCGCTTACACTCTGCCTACTAGCTGCACCGAACTTGAAGCTTCAGTCACCAGGTTAGTAATAATGCTAATTTAATCCTATTTTACAAGCGTTAACCAATGGGGCGTGATGCTCACATTTCGACTTCACGCCAGTTCTCATCAACAGTGTCATGCATATGAACATGCACCTACTACTCATACCAAAAACTTGATCTATAGCATCTAAATTAGCTCTCGGCTTGACTACTGGTAGCGCCATGGGAAAGGTTATTGGATTGATCCAAGGCCGCGTCACGTCATGTCAACTCATGTTTACCATCCAGACCAAATTCTGCCGCCGCAAACTAGGTATAACAGTAGGCCGGACTTCTCTCGAACTCCACATTTTGCGACCTTCCTAATGACTTGGACCGAGTTGGCACTGTTATAAACCGCGACTGCCGAAGCCGACACTCCACACTCAACACTCCTACTCAGTTGGGTGGATACACGGCCACATTGGCCAGAGCAAACAGTGCAGTGCCGCAAGTCTACGCACTTGGGCTGTGGCCATATCTTTTGATTTGTAGCCGTAATACCGGGATAGATCTGCCTGCTGCAGCTAGGGCACACCAGTGGCTCAGGCGATACGATCATCGCTGATCGATGAGTAGGCTCCAATGTACGCGTCCAAAGACATTCGGCTTAGCTGTCGCTGTCTGCGTGCGCCATGTTCCTCTTGTTATTCACATCGAATATACCAGTCAAATTTGTTAAATTTGGGAAAATGTCCTTATTTTTCGCATTAAAGTTAGCTGCAGAAACACGAGAACAGAGAAGTGTGCACAACGTATTTGCCGCACGCTCAGGCTGCGATGGTGTTCCGAAAGCATCTTACAGATTAAGAAGCTGAGACTCGTTATTATACGGTAGAGCTGAAAGTTTAATGCTTGGTCCATTCCATATAGCGGACGAGAATTATCGGCAGTCATTGCAGATTCGCAAGAAGTTACTCGGCGAGGAGCATCTAGATACGCTTGCCATCACGAATAGCCTCGCGAAATGCTTAGTGCTTGTGGAAAGCACGAGGATGTAGAATATGTATTAACAGACACTCGAGTTTTATGAGAAGATACTAGGCAAAGAGCATCTAGATACACTTGGTAGCATAAATTGCCTGGTAATGGCGCTTGGTAGAGCTGCCAAGTATAAGGAGCGAACACATACATTAGCAGTCGCTCGAGCCCTATAAAAGGATATGAAGCCCAGATCATCTAGACACACTCCTAAGCAGAAAAAACCTTGCATTTATTCTTCAGAGCTAAGGCACGTACGAGGAGGCAGAGACAATGCGATCAAGCCAGACAGGACGCTTCTCAGTGAAAGTGAGACATGTATCAGAAGTGGACGGTGATAGAGAGATTATTAGCGTTTGATTGCGCCTTGTCTTAAACCCACTACAGCATCGTCCAAAGAAAGAATTTTGGTGGCGCTCGTGTTGTTACAGTGACCTTTGCGATCCAAGCGCCATCCAGGACCGTTTTTCAGCAGCTTCTTATTCATGTTTCATGTCTTGGCGTTTGTCTGCTCAGAAGTTACTAGCAACGTGTTAAATACCACTACTAGGTTATAGGCTAAGCCGAGGGGGTTGCGGCACGGGGCAAATAACTGAAAGTACACAGCTCTGCTCATATAAGAACTCCACTAGAGCTGTCTGTGCAGTAACTGTGGAACTGTTGGGGTGACTATTTTCGCGAGCGTGTTTTCTCTTTAATTACGTTCGCAACAAAAATGTTATGGTATTTAGTGCTCTAGCGACGGCCTCTGCTCTATCGTCAGAACGTCGCTCTAAGTTTTTTTACCATAAGTAGAGCTGGTCGCATACGCGGTTGACTTTTCAGAGCATTTGAGTGGTCAACTACATGGAAGCGGATGTACAATAGCTTTAGGATTGTAATGTGGCCGAGGAGGACAGTCGTAAACTTCTATATTCATTGCGATGAAAGAAGGAAGATTCACCGAACGGAAGGCGAGCCGGACGGCCCGGAGGAAAGGCGTCGCGCTCGTCCGTGAATTCCACATCCCAGTCGAACGAAGGCATTTGACACGACATATCTTTCCATTGTTCTTTGATCTTAGAGTCTCGTACTCCGGTGTTCATCTGTAGAAATATCAAAGATTTGGAAAGAATAAAGCAAGTGGATTGGGGGTGCTAGGACTCCCTGAACTCTATGAAATTGTTGGAAGGTAGGTTGAGCACTGGGCCAAGCATCAACTCGACAGTATGCGTAGTATGTGTTCCCTGTGCGGCAAACAAGTCAATTGTAGTGTACAGCAACTATATCAGGGACCACGGCGACACTAGTTTATACAGATGCTATTATACCAATTCTTACCAGCCAGATGTCGAAAAGCGAGATGGGCGGTAATTGTTAGCCGAAGAGGGTTGCGTAGGAATATGCCTGCGTTAGTAGGTTCCAGAAAGTATTGCACTTGGATGTTGTCTGGTGCTTGTCAGAGTCCCTTAGGACCCTTACGACACAACGAAAAGTGCTAAGAGGAAAATAGAACCATGTTATCATACAATTGACGGCGACTAAGATAGCGTAGTATTTCGAGTCACTGCGCGCCCGCCTATTCTATACAAGAAGCACCATTTAGCTTGGCGGAAAGGAAAGCCCACATGCATCATCTATACGGCATGCATAATTCTCCCAACTCGATCCTGATCTAGGTACAGGGACGGTTACGAGGTAGTATAAGATTGAAAACAACTCTTACGCTATAATAGGCCGTTGATCATATTGTAGAAAGCAAAGATCAAGATCCGGCTTAGTTAATAAGCCAAAAAACTAGCACTTGAGATGAGCTGTTTCAAAAATACACTTGTGGAGGTTCTGGTCCTAATTACACTATTTTCTGCATCCTGGACATTTTGTTGCTCTTCCTAGAAAAAAATGATAATATTCTAGTCGCCAATAAAGGCATCTTTGTTCTGAAACTCTCGTCGCTCGTCATGCCTTCCTGTTCCGTACTAGCCGCAGGTCGGAACGGGGACCATCTCGAGGATGCCCCGACAGCCCGCTCTGCCGGCTTGAAGCCGAGGCACCCGAAGGCTGTCTGGTTCATTCCCACCGTGCGCATCTGCCGTATGGAGTCAAGTCCGGTGCTGCAGCCTTGAACTACTTTGACTCTTGTTCCAATTAACCAGCTTGGTTGTGGAAGCCCGCCGTTCCACAGACAAGTAATCCGCCATTTGTTTTGCTACAAATCCTTCCATCCTGCTTCCCGAGCCCATCTACTCGCGTCAACTTCATCCACGATGTCGCTTCTATATTTGCTGCAGGACTCCTTCATCGGCAAATCCCTCAGCACTGTTGCCAGCAGCCTTCTAAACCCAGTCGTCCCCGGCGCTTTACTTCTATTTCTTGAGAAAGCACCACAGGAGACTATCCAGCATCTCCTTGCGCGAGCCTCGCTTCCGCCCAACCATGACTTGACGCTTGCCAAGTCCATCCTCCAAGCCCTCATCGCCATTGGCACGCTGCGCCATGTGAACGCGAAGCTCACTTCCATGGCTGCCAACTCATGGCGATTGGGCGGCGCGCCCGGCTGGGACTGGCCCAACGAGATTGCCGTTGTTACTGGCGGTTGCAGCGGTATCGGTCTTGCTATTGTGCAAAAGCTTATTGCCGCCCGTGTCAAAGTCGCCGTCTTTGACATTCAACCTCTGCCCAAGCAACTGCCAGGCAGCCCCAATGTTCGCTTCTACAAATGCGACGTCACATCGGCTGCGTCACTCGCCGATGCGGCGGCTGGTGTACGCCGCGAATTTGGAGAGCCCACCATTTTGGTGAACAATGCTGGCATTGCTGTTCCAAAGTCTATTCTCGATACTAAAGAAGAGGCGCTTAAGAAGATCTTTGCTATTAATACCATGAGTCACTGGCTCACCGTCCAGCAGTTCTTGCCTAGCATGATCAAAGCAAACAAGGGCCACATTGTCACCATGGCTAGTGTCGCGTCCTTTGTAGGGCTTCCCGGTCATGCAGACTACGGATCTACCAAGGCATCCGCCCTTGCATTCCATGAAGCGCTTCAAGCCGAGATCAAGCATGTGTACGGCGCACCGAATGTCATGACCACCATCGTGCACCCTAATTTTGTGGCTACGCCGCTTGTGGAAGATTTCAAGGGCCATCTGAAGAGCTCGGGCATCACGTTTCTCACACCAGAGCAGGTGGCCCAAGACACAGTGGCTCAGATTTTCGATAGGAAGGGTGGGCAAGTTGTTGTTCCTAAATCCTCTGGCATCGCTTCGGCGGTTCGAGGCTGGCCATTATGGCTGCAGGTCATTGTTCACGACTTTCTAGGAGCGAATGCGAAGAGGATGAATAGTAAGTAGCCATATAGAAACCTTGACAGTTATAGCCCTACATTAGCCAGTATGCGAAATGTGCAAGGTAACACACGTATTGCAATAGCTGTTTGCGTATTATTTTTTTTTTAAATCTTACAATCCGCAATGCTGGATTAATATTTTAGTCCCAAGGTGTTGACATCCTTAGCCGTTAGGGTTATTTACCATAGCCGTGGATTGCGTTGGCTTCCCTATTGCCCAACTCAGTTCTATTATTAGTTTACGTGCCATGTTTAATACTCCTGGGAACTGCTCCAAGTGGCTGGAGACACTGAAGTGTTGAGCAAAGTCAATGAGCCGCCGCCGATGCATGTCAACATGGTCGCAACGATCACGAATGGCGCGTAGTAGCCTATAATCATTACCGCACTGCAAACAAGGGCGGTCCCGACCATGTTTCCAATAAGCATTGGCAGTGTTCGTTTTCCAGACTCGATGGCACTCACGCCCTGAACTGCCTCGAACCACGTCAGAAGGTAGTAGATGAAGAAGAAGAAGCTGGCACCAAGGCTAAAGTGGTAAAGTGCACGAGACCAGATGATGCGGATTTTGAAGACTCCTGGAGGTAGAGTGTAAAAACGGGTACCCGTGGGCACCCGTGGGTATCCAAGTTTTTCTTGGGTTATTCGTGGGCTACCCATTTTATTATGTAGGTGGTTTAGGTATACTACGAGTAATCTAATAGAAAGATAAGTGCCCTATAAATACTTATAAACGTATAATAATATAAATATTTAATTATATTTATAATAAGTCTTAAGTTTAAAGTATAAAGTAAGTTATATAAGTCTTATTTAAGTACTTAAAAACACTTAATATTCCTAATAAATAATTATAAGTACTTTATTTTCCCTTATAAATCCATTTAAGTCTTTTTTTCCTACCTATTACCTACCTAAAGCCCACGGGTAAGCAACCCACAGGGGTACCCGTAGACCTTTTACACCCTACCTAGAGGGTCCGTAGGGTCATCCTGGATCCACCACTGAGTAATAATGAAGGATGACTTAAGAAGGCTGAAGAGCACAAATAGTGCAATGACATTGCCGTCCTTCCAGGCATACGTAGTGCCACCCCACGGGAGCGCGAGCAGAATGGAGACGGTAGCCGGCATGAACACGAGGGTACCGATCGGCTCAAGGCGTTTCATACAATCTTTAAAGGTTGCTGCAACGGGCTTAGGCGACATATCGGTACTCTGGCAAAAGAATATGACGAGGAGGAAAACGACGTCTGCAATAGGGGGATAATGTCAAAGCACCATCTCCATGGCTGTAGTCAAGTTAGCAAAGATGGCAGCATCCAGGTAGGCGAGATTTAAGACGAACAGTGTCGATATTACGGTGTGGGAAATGTGGCCAGGTTGGGGTTCATCAAGAAAGCCTGCCGTCGCAGACCAAGTCCGCGACCTCCTCCGTAGAGATGCTGCTATCCAGTGGGATGCATGCAAGTATCTGAAACTCGCTCAGCCATTTCAGGCATGCGAGAAGTTGTTCTGCAAATTATAATAATGTGAGCCTTAAAAGGTTCAAATCACAGGTATTTCGTCCATCTGCGTCTGTGTATATGATTTGCACCTGTGCGTCTCTTCCACCACAAATAAACATACCGGAATAGCGAGCTTCTGGATGACATCGGCTGGCTCAGCTACCGGCGTCATCGTTGCGCTCGCCAAGCTCCATCTAGGCCCATCTTAATCAGCAGAGCTGGAAGTGCTACCGTCACGATATACCTTGACAGAATTTCCGGGATCGTCGTCCAAGGCCTCCAGCTAGCACATCACTGTACGGAGTAATGGCTCTCTTTGGTACCCGCAGAAAGGAGTTACTATTGTAGACGAGTCGTTTCGCAGGGAAACTATCTGTTGTAGCCGGCTACAGTGATAACACCGAATTGCCAGGCACATTGTCACGGTTGAGCGCATCCTTCTCATCAACCCTTTGAGTGTGTGAAGGTGCCTTGGACCTTAGCTGTACTAAACCAGGATAAGACCTAATAAAATAACTTATATTTAAGGATACTTAAGTCTCTTAAAAATAAGGAAATAATAAACGTACTAATAATTTAAAATATGAAGAGTTACTTTATAATTAGTAATTTTATTAGATTAAAAGCTATTAAAAAGATGGCCTTAAGGTACTATAGAATAATGGAGCCTGTACAGCCAACGTACCTTAATGCACTCAAAGAGATTTACGCCGCTTGTAGGGCCTTTGGGGCTTGCTAAATAATTCCACCAGACGATTTCAGTTGGCTGGAACTATGTACCAAGGCAATCAACTCAAAGCACGCTAGGATCGGTCCGCTCAACTCCTGCCCCCGCCGGAGTGGCTAATTATCCTAAGGGGGTAAAGGTTTGGACAGAACTAGTGGGTTACCTATAGCGCAGAATTTAAGCGTTGTACGGAGTATTTCCTTATAACATCCGAATACGCACAAAACGCGCCTGCATCATGGTCAGTACATCACCTAACACCTAGCTGGTCCGCTGGTGCCCGCAGCAATCATCTCATCATGGTCCGCCTTGGGGGCTTACTGGTTGGCGGTTTAGAGTCTAGGGTAAACCTAGAGTTGCCAGACACAACATATTATTGTGCATGTTCGGCTTTGTTAAGAAGCCTCTTGGTCCAATTAGCAGCAGCCTTAGTAAATTTATATACGAAATAATAGCAGAAGCTTATAAGCACGGTCTGGAAAGCGTCGCTACGCACGAGGGCCTCGGTTGCACGTCAAAAAAGCATCGCTGTCAAGGCAATAATAATGCATAGACTGTTCTGCTTTGCAGCCACGCATAGTTATCGCTAGAGAATTTGCTGTATCTGTTCTAACTAGCCTTGTAGTCAATCCGAAGGTTAATTAAAGGTAGAGTGCGGCATTTTCGATAACTCCGGGCAGCTCGCCCCGTAAATATTCGGATGAGATTGAGGCACACCTGACTCGTCATCCAGACATTCGACGTGTCCCCTGGCTCTGCGACGAGTATGCCTTAACCGAGCAAGTGGTATTGACCGCAGCGGTACAGACGAACTCGCACCTTGGAACCAGCTGTTAGCTCTGGTGGCACTTTCAGAGGAGTCCATCGCCAGAAACGGTAGCCTGAAAGCAGTCCACAGGTGAGAAGGATAACGCGAGAAACTACACGCTCTATAGCTGAAGTATTAGCCTCTGTGCTACCTCTTGTCAGACATCTCCCGTCCGCTGTGAAACAGGACCACCAACGTCATTCTGCAAGGTAACACCACCAGCACAGTCACAAAAGGTGAAGCATCCGGATTAATTACGCATAGTTGGCAGAGTCGAATAATCGGCTCAGAGCTATAGTAATAGCCAATCCGTAGCTTTCCATGTCACGATTCGGTTAGGCCGCACGGAAGCTGATCTAACTCCTCCTCTCCACCAAGAAGACAAGCCAGAAATAGAAGAGGAACTGGTCGCTTTAGCGCCAAACCTATTTGACCACCTCGCATCTTAACTTTACCTTTCGACTGTATACCCCTTGTATTTCACCGATAATTACACCCTAGAACACCTTATCAAGCCGTATCGCGCCACAGAAGCGGATCTGTTATAGGGTTTTAGAGGTGCCACGCGCATTATGAAACGCTGGAACTAGTTACCATGTAACATGTGGTGTGGTTTATTCAGACTTATACTCTCGAGAGCTGCATGTTCGGCGTTACCAGTCCGAGACGTTTTAGCGTCGTTCGGCCGCGATGGGACAATCGCTTGACAAGATGACGGTCCAGTCGGCACCCGGGTTCTTTATTTCTGGCAGTTGCCTACTCAGGAAAGGCAGAGAGCATGATGCTAGTACATATCGACGAATTTCTTAGTTACCGGAAAACAGTTTCTGACAAAGGATGCAGAAGATACTTTCTGTTAAACATGATGTCTTGGAAAACATTACACGTCAGGCTATACAAGATTGCGTCAGCGTCTAGGTGACAGTGCAGTCTTCCCTAACTTAGCTTCTGTAGGTCGCAAATTTTAGTTCAATTGACTGGGTTCCCAACTTCTGAGTGCCATCGAGGGAGCTTGAAGTGTTTTCTTCGTATTTTGGCTCCGGGCTTATCACCGCCACTTCACCGAGTCTTTTGAGTTACAAATTTACCCGACACCGCGGACTCGTCCAAATGCGCTCCCCGTACTTGATCAGCACAAACGGGACAGGAATCATCGCCATAGCCGCAAACCCCACAAACGCTGTCGTCATGATCGGTACAAGCCAGAAAACATGATACTCAGCCGTCCAGCCACAAACGAGTAACCCCGCGGGAATAGCAATCCCACGCACAATCATCGGCGGCAGTCGATACTCTGGCTTTATAATGCCGTCGTTCTGCGCGGCTTTACTCTTGATCATGCGGTCTGAGATGGCGCCGAAGACGAACAACCCGAGGATCATCCCCCCGCCTAGGCCGAGGTAGGTGAGTCCGACCTTTCTTGAGGCGAAGTGGTATTCGTCTTCGAAGACGCTGTTGAGGGGGGTGAAGAGGAGGTAGAGGTAGCCGTAGATAATGGCGGCGAGGGTAGCGACGGACGCACGATGGCGCGCTGGAAGGCCAAGCGGGGAAGAGGTCGGTGTCCAGCGCCGACTGTAAAGATTTGTTGCCTGTTTCTTTGCGCCGGCGTTTGGTGATGTCGCCGAGAATGATGTTTGGGGCTGTTTCGCGGAGTAGGACCAGGTAGACGCGGGAGACTGCGCCGGACTGTTTTTCTGTCATGCCAGAATACTTTTACTGGCATGAATGTGTACTAGCGGAGACAACTCACCACGATGGCCAGAACCCAAAAACCTATCTCCAGCCCTTAGCCGCCGACAAGAATGATCCGATGACAGGTCCAATGACAGGTCGAAGCAGCGGCCTAATAGCCCAAGCAGCAAGGCCCTTCCCACGCTCCTGGCGAATAAACAAGTCTGCCACTGTCCCACCCCTAATAGTGAGAACCGCAGACTCAGCGATTCTTTCAAGCAGGCGGAAGCCAATAAGCATGCTAAGGTTAGAGCTAACGGTACAAGCAACAGTGAAGATTACGAATAGGAAATTTGTGACGTGACACAAAATTAAGCGGCCGTAGAGCTCTGATCCTGTTAGTATCGTAAATGGATGATTGCATTGAGCCGGAACACACACCCGAGACAGGCGCAATGACCAATAGGCTTGCCGCGTATCCCAGCAGGTAACTAGATGGTCACCACGAACGGGAATGGCGCCCGTTAATCCAAACTCAGCCGGACATTCAGCCGAACATTCAGCATAATGTAGTCACAGAGTTAATGGAGTTCATTAATCAATAATCTAATACTGCTACTGAATGATGCTTTTGCCCATTAATTCTTCACCTCTTCTCTATGTAATTGACTAGGATGTGGAAGCTCCCCGGATTCAATCAACATTTGTAATTCTTCCTTATTGCTCCAGTTCTCATAGCATTCTAGGTATTCCTCTGGAAGAAATTCTGCTATTACCTGAGCTAGGTTATTAGCACGCTTTCTGTAGGCAGCTAAGTCTAGTGTTCCAGGCCATCTTTCCATCCCTGGTGGGAAGTAGCCAGCATACTCCCAATCAATCAAGGACTTGACTTGAAGAGTTTGTGGATCTATGATAATGTTGTGAGCTGCGATATCGCCGTGTTGAAAAATATAATTTGGTTCCTTTAAAGGGAGAGTCTTCCAAGATTTTTTGCCTTTCCATGGAGGTTCAGCATCAGGGCTAAGCCAAGAGGGGGGCATAACAAATCCATCAATACCTCTTTCTCGAGATCTTAAATTCGCAAGCTGTGGTAAAACGATATCCCTGATAAACTCAAGCGCATTCGAGTAAGCTTGATCTGAACACGCCTTGCATGGAGTATAATCTGTATGTTTCTGATCCTCTAGCCTTGAGCAGCTTTGGGTTAGAATTTTGTTTAGGGTTACGCCTTCAATAAACTCTGTGATCAAATATCGTCGGCCGTCTAGATGCTCTCCATACGCAAGTAATTTTGGCACAGGAATTGTTGTTCGCTGAGAAACTAGCTCTAAAGCTTTAGCTTCATTGGTGATACGCTCGTGATTCCTATTAAAGCATAGCTATAGTTAGTATTATATAATAATACGAAGAAAAGTTCTTACCATGATCTGAACCATATAAAAGGAGTGCCATCAGGATATGGATCATTGAAAGGAAGACGTGAGGTCTTTTTAAAGGTTGTAGCCGTAATTTCATACGCCACATCATTCGACTCATAGCTATTGAGGACTGCACTAGCTGCGACTTCTTTTAGTTCAAGTTAATGAAATGGTGTCAAAATAACTGGAAGGAGTGAAGTTTCACCATAGAGAGGCTTACCAGCTACATTCTGAATATAAGACGTAGAAGCCATTGGATAATAAGCGGAATGAATATGTTGTCAGCAATTAGTGTGTTTGTTGGCAAGTTTATTGGGGAGTCCCAAGATGGGTCGGATTCTTATAGGGGAGTCCTGCTTATCGAGTCTCAGTTAGTAAGCAGGACTGCGCCACACAATAAGCAACCTGCGAATATAGGACCAGTTCACATAACTACTATTACACTTTAGAGGGCATTAATTATAACGATAATGTATATATACAAGTCTATGTTTAGCTATAAAAGAGAGAATTATATACGCTCTTTTTATAAGTGCGCTTATTATTAGGGTTATTTACTTATAGTTAAGGGTTTACTCTTATTTAATTATATATATATAATTTATACTTATAATAAGTAACTTATTTTAATATACCTCTTAATTAAGCCTATTATTAAGGCTATTATAAGCT